TCAAAAACATAAAAAGAGGAGAGTATAGTCTTTTCAATAAATGATGTTGGGAAAACACTATATCCACATGCAGTAGAATGATATTGGATTTTTGTCTCACACCATCGTAAACAATTAGCTCAAAATTTATTAAAGATTTGACTATAAGACTTGAAACTGTAAGAGCTATTAAAAGAAATTATAGGGTAAATTTTTTTACTTTGGTCTGGGTAAAGATTTTTTTAGATATAACGCCCAAAGCACAGGCAACAAAAACAGAAATGAAGAATTGGGATAACATCAAATTAAACAGTCTTTGCACAGCAAAGGAAACACACCTTGCTCCTTTCCCATCATGTCTGTCCTCTATTTTTATTTATGCATTGTTTCTATTCATTCTTCTTCATTTATTATGGTTTAGATATGAGGGTGTCCCCCCAAAACTCATGTGAGACAATGCAAAAGGGTTGAGATGTGAAAGCATTGGATTATGATATCTTCAACTTAGTGGGTGTGTTAATCCACTTGAATGGATTAACTGGGTGATAGAGTAGGCAGGTAGGATGTGGCTGGAAGAGCTGGGTCTTGGAGGCTCTGCCTCTGGAGTTTATATTTTGTTTCTGGTGAGCAGTGGTTTCTCTCTGCTTCCTGATTCTTATGTTCTGAGCTGCTATTCTCCACACCCTTCTGCTATAATATTCTGTGTCATCTCAGGCCTAGAGCAACATGGTCACCATCTATAGACTGAGACATTTAAAAGTGTGAACCCAAAATAAATTTTTCCCCTCTAAAATTGTTCTTGTCAGGTTTTTTTTTAAATCACAATAGCAAAAGGTTGACTAAAATATCATTCTTATTTTCAAAGATGCCCTGTGTCCCTTGAGTAAAGTAAGAAATAAATGAAATGAAACTTTTTGTGCATGATTTCAGTGGAATAAATATAACTGTAGGAAGTTGGTTTACGAGCTTCTTTTAACTGGATATCTAAAACAACCAAAGAGAAGACTATTTTAAAGTTTAATTGGTAAGAAAAACAAAGAGCAGCAATGCTTTCCCATACAACTTAGAGCAACTCTTTTCTCACTAAGGGTTAATGCTAAGTTTTTCAGTATAATCATAAATGTCTATCCCCTGAATATTCACTCTTTTCTTTTTGTAGTATTGTATATTGTATCCAAATCCATAAATCAAAGGATCAGAAAGATTTCAAGTAGTCAACTAACTATTTGAAAAATGTAACTAAAAGATTCTTTCTGTATCTTAGTAGTAACCTAGACCTCCACTTCGTTAACTTTTAATCTGCATAATTCCAGTAGGGATGGTGAACACATAACCTCATTCTAGAAGCTCCCTAGGAATATATGTTTAGTAAAACTATTTTTCTTTGGGCATGTATTATTGTATGAGTCATTCAAATTAATACTGTCAGGTCATTATAGCACAATTTAAGGAAACTGGAGAGTCTCTCCAAGAAAGTTTAATTGAAGTTTAATAGAGTTAATGGCTACTTATTTTCAAAGGAAAAAAAAAGGAATATTTAGAGTCCATTTTGTTTTGTTTTGTTTTACTTTGGTTATATAGTGTGTGTGTGTGTGTGTGTGTGTGTGTGTGTGTGTTGTATGGCTTGGAGGCTGCGGTGATAAGCAAGGTGCAACATGAAAATGCAATTAGGAGCTTTCCAGATAACCATGTCAGAACTGACATACTGAACAAAAAACTGACATTCTGCCTGATCTGTTTTGGGAAAATAAATGTTTTGAACCGACATTGAGATGGTAGGTCCTGGCTGAATTTAATGAGACAAGAAACAGGAGCCGGAACAGAAGTAGCATACATCATGTTGGTATCATTTTTCTATCCCTCCTAAATAATAATAACGGCACTATTTTTGGAACCAGCATGAGTCCTCTATTTAAGTTGAAATTAGTTTTTTTTTCTTGTGAGCTCCTTTACAGTTCTAATAACTAGAAAAAAATGATGTTGAGAAAAGCTAAGTTTTGAAAATGAAGTAATCAAAGGAGAAAACTGCATGTGGCATTATTAGAGAATTAGTTAAATACATTAGAATCATTTTTAAAGAATGAATGACTTTAAATTTAATGTATCTAAAAATAAGTTAAGATATTACAGTTTTCTATAAATTCATGAATGGCCAGAATGTTATGGGAAAGAGTATGGATTGTTCATAAGGCACAGATAGATTTGTTTCACTTTATGTTTCAGGACTAAAATTTTTTAAATGTTGGGACTTTGAGACATTATTATGGATATAATGATTTATGTCATGAATTATAGAACATACTATCAAAAAGAAAAAATAAAACTCTTTCTATGAAAGCAATGGTAATTACTAAACTTTCCCATAATTCAATTAAGAGAAGTATTCCTCCAGAGCAAATCGGGGAGGCATGTCCCTTTGCATATTACCTGTTTTTTTAGCGTGAACAGGATTGTATGGAACTTTGCTACTCAGAGTATAATTTACAGGTCAACAATTTCAGCATCACCCAGGAATTTATTAGAAATGCAGAATCTCAAACCCTACTCTAGGCCTTCTGAATCAGAATGAATATTTAAACAAGATACCCAGGCTTATATTTAATCTTCATGGTGCATATTAATATCTAAAGGGATTACTATAGACCCTGTCACTGAAAATTAACACTATCCAATGGAACTTTCTACAATGGTAGAAATGACCTTTGCTATCCAATGTAGTAGCTACTAGACACAAGTAACTATTGAGCACTTCAAAGGTGACTGGTACTGTTGAGAAACTGGCCTTTTCATTTTGTGTAATTTCAATTGTTTAAATTGAGATAGCCATACATGGACAGTGGCTACCATATTGTACAGTGAGGTGTAACTTTTTAATCAAATATATTTATGATAATAACATAAGCCTTTTAAAATTGTAGGACATTTATTCCCCTCACATATTAGTCCTGCCTGATGGGATTGAATTATACCTAATACTTTTAAGTGTCACTTAATTATTCATATATCATTTGCACCATTATACTATGTACTTATATTCCATAGTAATTTTTTACCTGGTTGTTGCCCACTGTGTTGCCACAATCAACCTAACACTAGAATCAAGCCTCTCAAGAGAGACATGAATTCCTAATGATCTTTATATTCCTTAATACCAAGTTTGGCATGTATGAGGTACTCAATGCAATTTTATAGTTAAATAAAACTAAAGATATTTAATAAAACATAGTAAAGTATGGATTTAAATGTAATGCAACATTATCTTGGACAATATTTAGCAGGGCTCATCCCATCCTGAAACAAACAAAAACAATAACAACCATAGTAACAACAATAAAATCTTATGCAGCCATAATCTGTGTCCACTCTTTGAAGACAGACTGATGTTAGGAGAATACTGATGCAGATCAGTAAACACAGTATACAACTTGGATAGATTATTTATGAATAACATGCAAATCTACATTTTTTTAAAAGTGTCAGTGCTGAATTGGCAAAGACACCGAGTTGGACTTGAGACACAGAAGAGGAAATGCCTCCCAGAGGGACTAACTAGCTGAGACAAAGAATGGACAGCTGAATTTTCTGAGTTCAAGATGACATGAGCCAGAAAATCAGCTGCAGAAAACAAATGACGCTGGGGTCACTGGCAGCAGGTGGGTAGCCTGACCCTCTTGTCAGTGTGAGAATATCTGAATGCTTTTCTGACAAGCATTGTAAACCACCAGGTAAACAGCTTGGGGCCCAAGCAGATGGCTTTGTAGTGCCATTCTTTTTTTATTGTTTACCTCTAGTATAGGGGCAGACTGCATGTGGCAGTATGGCTTCTATATTTGGATTCAACAGTCTTTCTCATCACAATTTCCAACTTGTGTGGCTTGTGAATAAACTATTACTTCACTTTGACTAACACCATGTCCTTTAGTCATCCCATTGCCTTGTGAACCAAGGCATGTTATTCCAACTGGATTACGTGCACTTTCACAGTATGTGAATTCATCAGACTAGGATTGTTATGTTGTGATTTATTGACAATGTCTCATTAGGTTGATTTCATCCCCATAGTTCATTTCTAAAGGATTCATCAATACTTGTTTTAAGAATTCTGATAGAGGACTTTTAAAAACACTCATATTAATCTTTTATTCTTAAAGTTTTTACACGTATTCAGAAAGAAAGATAATTATAAAAATCTATGCCCCTATCATTCAGCTTCAAAAATTATCAACATTATTATTTCATCTCTTACTTCTCTTTGTTTTTTGAATGGAGTATTTTAAACCAAATTCCACTATGCTATTATTTTGTTCATAAATATTTGCTGAAAATCTATGACAGATAAGGACTTTCAAAAATAAAATTACAATAATATTATCACAAACAAGCAAAGTAACAAGAATTTATTATCTACTATTTGGTTGTTTTTTTAAATCTTTCCCCTGGTTATGTCAAATTTACCTTCTTGTAGTTAACTGATTTGAATAAAAATTCAAGCCAGGCACAAACTACATTTGCCTTATGTGACTCTTAAAATACCCTTTTTAAAAAATTGTGATAAAGGGCTGGGATTGTGGCTCAGTGGTAGAGCGCTTCCCTAGCACACCTGAGGCACTGGGTTTGCTCCTCAGCACCACATTAAAAACAAAACAACAACAACAAAAAACTAAATAATCAAAATAAAAGGTTAAAAATTGTTTTTAAAAATTGTGATAAAAAACTTTTAATGAATTTTGTATACACAATATACTAATTTAACTAAAGGCACAGTGCTGTTCATCTTGCATAACTGAAGCGTTATGCCTATTGAATAGCATGTTCCCACTTACCCCTGCTCCTAGCTCCTGGCAAATTACTTTCTGTTCTCTGCTTCTATGAGTTGACTGATTTACACATCTTATATTCTTTCTTTTAAGTTTGAATAAAATCCCATGGTATGTATATATGACAATGAGTCAGCTTTTCATCATGTTACCAAAACACGTGACAAGAACAACTTAGAGGAGGAAAGACTCATTTTGACTCACAGTTCCAGAGGTCTCAGCTAATGGTCTGCCAACTCCATTGCAGAAACATCCTGGCAGAAGGCATGGCAGAGGAAAGCTGTCAGCTCATGGCAGCTGGGAAGTGGGAAGGGGGTGAGATAAACCTTTGCAGGGCACTGCACCACCCCAGGAACCTATTTCCTCCAATCTCTCAGTAGTCCATTTGGAATTAATCCACTGATGAGGTCAGAGCCCTCATTAGCCAATCAGTCATTGCATTAAAGCCCCACCTCTGAACCCTCTTACATTTGGGGACCATGCTTTCAACACATTACCTTTTGAGACACATTCCAGATTCAAATCATATCACTACATCTTCTTGACAACAATTCCTCTTCTTTTTTTTATGTCATATGGTATATTTATGTCAAAGAAACTGGGCCTTTTGTGCATTAAGATTTCCCACATTCTGAATTTAACTAACTATATTCTTATGGTATTCTTTACTGTGTATCTTTTATATCTCCTATATTATAAATCTGTGGTCTGGTACAGAGATTTATTAGATTCAAGTTCAAAGTCCTTTAGCAAGAGTTCCTCACCATGGTTCTCTGTCTTGCTATTGCAAAACAGCTGAAGTCCTTTTTGACAAATTTTAGGTATCTAAAAATGGAAGGCACTTGTGGAGGAAACCTTCTTTCAATGAATATTTGAAGCTTACTCAGGGGTCTTTAGAAAAATGGAGTCCTGAGAGACTTTTCTAAAATATTTTTACTGTAAGAGATCTGCTTAGAATTTTTAAAAATTCTCTTTAGTGTATGAAATTTTCATAATTTCAGAGAAAATTTAATTAAAACCACAAAAACAAAAATTTTTGCATTCCCCTAATTAAGGATCTGCTTCAAATAGCAACTGTGGGAATTACTTTGGAAAAATACATCAGACAGACCTCAAACTTGGTTGAGAATGCCTGAATATAGATATGGGGCCAACATCAGCCAAAATTTGGTTTGGATGTGGAGACCAATGACACCCCAAGCGCTTATATACCATGGAGGTGGGAAGAAACGTATTATGGACATAGTGGGGGTTCCTGAGAAGAGCTGGGCATCTTTAAAAAGCAGGCACAAAAGTGGCTGCAAAGAATAGGACTAGGCTCTGCTTTTGTTGTATTTAGAGGGTGAGGAAGGATTGAACAGGGAGTTCAGCTGTGTGGTCTGAACTTGTGGCAGCCAAGCTTTCTCAATGACTTTTCCATTTGAGAGGCAAGAGGGGAAGAGACAGGAGTGGCCTTAAAAACCTTCACTATCAAATACAAGCAACAGAGTTGGACACTTTACTGCAAATGCAAATAATTTATTTAATTGGGTATACAAAAAATACAATAAATTGAAGAAATTAAGATATTTGTTTTTTTTTTCCTTCCAAGACATGCCCTAGCTAAAATTTGGGAGCCCCTTCTGTAAGGAGGGCACTTACTTATTTGCATTATTCACTTAATTTAATATCTGTAACAACCACATATGTTGACTATTAGTAATCCCACTTTACACATGAGGGAACTGAAGGGCAAAGCCATTAAGATATTGGCTCAATATCATATGGCTGAAATGGTAGATTCAAGTTTAAAATCTGTGAAGTCTGGCTCCAGAGAGGCATTTCTAACCACAATCTGTATCCTAGTTGTTCAAAAATTTTGCACATTTAAGAATCCCTCAGAAAACTTGTTACAAAACAAATCATCAGGTAGTTCCTACTCCAGGTAGATAATTTGGTAGTTTCTGCCATAGAGCATGAGAAATTATCTTTCTAATAGTGCCCAGAATGCTGCAATCTGAGACAGTGCCTTGAGAGTGACTGTTACACACACATTTATCTGAACTCAAACTTGTACAGAACATACCCAAAATACCTGTACTCTAAGACTGGAAGATGACATATCAATAATTTAAAAAGTTTCATATTAGAAGGACCTAGATTTCCTTTTGATTCTCTTACTGAGGCTGGAGTACAAAAAGACGGCCACTGTAGGTAATGGATGATTGGATAACAAAGATGGTGTGTGTGTGTGTGTGTGGGGGGGGGGGTGCTAACATGTTGTCAAAGTTAATTGCATCCAGCCCTGCAAGGGCTGGTTAATGAATGCCCCCTGGACTGCTCCCTTCATGCCTGTACCTCTGGGCAGCTTTGTTCCTGCCCTTGGATCACTTCATATTTTGGACAACCTTTTGGACACTAGTCACATAGGCAGGATGGGGAAGGAGAGGACATAAGAACAAAGGAATTCTAAAATATATAAAAGGGACAGGACACTCCCACTTTTCGTGGACACCCAGTTCTGGTGTTCCTTCTCTCTGGAGAAGTCTATCTCTGTTCTATCCTTTAAATAAATTTGTTTTCTATGCCGCCCTCAGTGTTTCTCAGGTGTTCCATATTCAACATCAGGGAAATGGGACTCGACCCTGATTCTCATCACTGGTATCATTACCAAATAGCTATAAACAATTGAAAATGTTGATTAATTTTCTTCTGACTCCATTGCCTCACCCATAGAAAATGAAATGCTGTAACAGTGGTCCACATTACCTTTTGAATATAGCCCTTGCTGCTTATTTTTAAAGAATTTTTTTTCTTTTCCTCTTTTTCCTCTCACCTCTCTAACCTGCTGGCAAGGAAAAATTACTTTGAGTTATCTGTTCCCCACAGGAAGGAGATGTCACCAGAAGCACTAGGAAATGACTATCTCTCAAATTAACAAGTAAATTTCAACACACCATCAGAGTGCACTTGTGACCCCCTGCCAGGGCACACTCCAATGTAGCCTTTGAATAGCTTCTTTAAAAGCCCTCTATTTTCACTGATGGCAGAACTACAGCCTCTGGGACTGGAGTCCCCAATGTTTCTCCTTTACTAGCAAAACAATAAACCTTCTTTCCCCTTCTTCTCAACTGTGTACCTCATTATTTAATTGGCATGAATTGGCATCAGGGACAAGGACTGAGCTTTCAGTAACAGGTAACAATGGTAACACTAAATCTTGGGAATGTTGTAAAGATTAAATGAGGAAAAAGTACGTAAACCACCTGGCAAGTATTTTAGTACTCTAGAATGGCAGTAAAAGGTAGTAAATGTCCTTACCTAAACTACCCAGTTTGAGGTTTAAATATCTTAGCACTCATTAAATAGTTTCCTAACAGTACTGTAAAGATTTTGGGAGTTTTGCAAGAACTATCACTGAACAAGTAAAAATTATATTTGCTTTTATAACTTGCTAGAAGTAGATTTACCTTGTAGTTTTGAAAAATGTTTTGAAAGGCTATGTGCAAGGAAAAAAAAATTGCTTCATAAAATCAAGTGCGTACCTTCCATTGTGTGGGTGAACATAGAGGACTATTTCTCTTTTAAGAAACTCATACTATTTGAAGCAATCTTCCAGAGTTACAGAACCACTTTTGTCAGCTATAGTCTTAAACAAAATCTACTGAAGCTGGGTCTAATCATAGGAGCAATTTAGTCATTAATTTTTAAAATATGTCTATCAAGGAAATTGACTTGATTGACATGTGGTCAAATTGGATGATGGGTAATACTTTTCATCTTGCATCCAAAAGTTCTGGCTGTTCCTAAGCATTTTGTTATATTGTCATTAAAGTTAACATAGGTGTTTTGTGTACTCTATGCCTTCTGAGTTTGTACTGCACTGCCCTCTGGAGGAAATAACGCTTCATAACACGTTAATTGTAACTTCTTAGAAAAATTCTTACACTTCTCCATAAAGACAAACTATGCTTCAAGAATGTGTGATCTATGTCAATAGCACTCAAAAACAGGAAAAATAAAATTCTAATTGCATATTCAAATAAAAATTATTGAACACAAATAAATAAACATTCATGTAAGCATTTTATCTTTAAATAATTATGCATCTCTTTTGGTTGGCACTTAAAATTTGAGTCTAAATTTTTTCATATCTATTAGTAATAGTTTAAACTCTGAATTCATTAGTTTCCTTATATTCCATTTTGGTCTTTTATTTTAAATATGTGTAGGATTTCCCAAGTAAAGATAGAATGTTTTTTTAATTCACATGTCATACAAGTGAGTTACATACATTTTCATACAAAGATTACTCTTTTACAATGTGCTTATTATACATTAAAACTATATAATCTACATGTGAATTGTGCTTTAAAATGGACACATGTATCTTGATTAAATTATAAAATAAGCCTGAAAATGTTTCTTTAGAAAATAAAGCTAGTAAGCTAGACTGGTATATGAAATCAATGAAACCAGGAAAGACGAAAAAAAAAATTAAGCAGATCTAAATGAACTTAAGATCTTTTTTTCACTTTAATAAGTATTGTCTTGTAAAAAGTGATTGTCATAGAAACAAACACAGGATGAGCTTCATGAAACAAAATTTGCAAAATATTATATAGTGATAATGCCAACACCAAGATTGTCTTGTATTATTGTCTATGTTTTCTTTGGTATTTTTGCACTTGATGTTTTTCTTTCATACTTCAGGTTATCACTCCAAGATTTCTTTCATTAAGACCTGTGGGTGGATAAGTAGATTGTTACCAAGAATAATTAGAGTTGATTCTATTTTCCTTTCCTATTCTTTAATTTTTCAAACAAAAAAAATAGTGAAGAAGAAAGAAAAAAAAAATATCTGCATGTTAACATAAACTGCTAAGTAAAATCCCATATAGGCAAATTCTCATTTAATACTCGATTGAGTGATCAAATATAGGCTGTAAAATGTTGCTTATCTCTCATATCTGTTTTTGATATGATTTCAAGCCTATTCCACATCATCAGTGTCAAGATCTAAAACAGAACAGGTCACTTTCTATATGCTTTTCAGCATATAGATACAGTTCAAATGGCCAATTAACAGAAACAAATCAAAACATGACAATTAATTTCCAAATGATACTGCATGCAGGGATTATGACTTCATAGAAATCAGGGAGTGAGACAGAAAAATAAAGGTAAAAGTTCTCTGTTTCTAACAGTATTATTTTACTCAAATAGCAGACTTTAAAAAAAAACTACAGGGCAATTTCTAAAACAACAACCTGAAATGTATAGACTTGGGTTAGAAAAGAGGCACGTTTTTTAACTTACTCATTATTAAACTGCAGCTATGTGCAAGTTATGGAGCTAA